TTGATTAAATCATTGGTCATTGGTGATTGAACTCAATCTCCAGCCCCTCTCCCTTTTCTAGGGGTTGAGTGGTGGTGGTGGTGGGGGGGACTGAAATTTCAAACCCCTTTATTCATATCGTTCCCCTGGCAACCAGCCCCCATCCTTAGGTGCTTTCTTAAAGTCACCTACTTCACATAAACTCAAGTGTGGTTGAAAGGAGTTTGTTATAAATATCAAGACACCTTTGCCACTCTCATCACTTAGGAAATTCAGTGGGTTTCTGTCCCAGAAATGGGGATGGAGACCAAATATATATTTCTCATTATAAATCACAATATCACAACCATTCACTGGTAACCATGGACAAATTAGTTACCATTTCTAAGCTTCCAAGAACTCGTTTGTGAAATAATAGTGCCCATCTCATTGGGAAGATGAAATACATTCAAAGAGCTTAGCACAGCATGGTGGTCATGGAGATGCACTGCCCAGGCCTTCCTTCAAGGATTTGCTGCCCAGCTGCAGGGAGTGTTGTCAACAGCCAGCTGGCCAGCTGTCAGCTCCTTCAGGGGCTGCCCCAGCTGTAGAGAGCCACCCCAGATGAGGTCACCCCCTTTCCAGGGGTATCTAATAACTGAGGGAGAAGGGCGGAAATGGATAAAAGCTTGGCCATTTCTGCCTGATATGGGACACTAATGGGCCATACTCACTCTAGAATTCCCAGACAGAGTGGCCAAGGATTTTTGGGGCCTGCATTGCGGACTGACGTCTTCCTCTCAGCAATCCTGCTTCCTCCCCTTTCCCTTCACAGGTGGTCATCCCTGATAACCCAAACTGTCTCCAGGTCTGCTTCTCGAGAACCCAACCTGCAACATATAGTGTCTAGCAGACAGTAAGTACTCAATAAATGTTAGTTATTGTTCTTTGTTGTTGTTGTTATTGCATTAAAATAGGAGCCAGAGTCCAAGACTGGGCATTCTGTTCCTGACCCATCCAGCACCTGCCCTGCAAATGCTTAGGGCTGTACTAATCCTTCATGGTGCTAACGTCTTGGAATTACCCTTTGATATGGGCTGAATGCTCGTACCCCCCCAAATTCATATGTTGAAATCCTAACCCCCAATGTAATGGTATTAGGAGCTGGGGCCTTTGGGGGGTAATCAGGGCCTTTGGGGGGTAATCAGGCCATAAGGGTGGAGCCCTCATGAGTGGGGTTAGTGACCTTATAAAGGAGACATCAGACAGCTCTCTTGCCCTCTTTCCACCATGTGAGGATATGAGAAGGGGGCCGTCTGCAACTCAGACGAGGGCCCTCACCAGAACCAGACCATGCTGGCACTCTGATTTCGGACTGCCAGCCTCCAGAACGTGAGAAATACATTTCTGTTGTTTATAAGTCTACGGTATTTTGTTATAGCAGCCTGAATGGACTAAAGAGACCCTTCTTCTGACTTTACGTCCCTGGAGGGAGGGACCCTATCTAAAACTTCCTTCTTTCCTCCACTGATTTGTTAGCTCACACATAATCGGCACGCAGCTCAGATTAGTTAATTTTTAAGTTTCCTGGGTTGAGAACTCCAGCATGATATTTTGAATAGCTGAGCTCTCTTCTAATGCGTATAATCTAAACATGTTTCTGTTGTCCTAGACTCACCCATTATGTGCTAACCCATAGCCAGCCTCCATTCATTATACCACGCAGAGGGATAGAAATCCACTAGCTGAGGTTTGATTCATGCTGCAGCTCACTATGTGCTTTGGGGTGTACTGAGTCACTTAATCGCAGCATTGGTTGTCTCAGGAGGGATCTGAGTCTGGCTTCCTCACGAGGTGCTGTGCAGCCCATTCCTGTGATTTTTTTCTGCACAATTTATGTGCTTGCTACAAAATACAAGTTGTATATACCTTCATGGTGTATATCAGCAAAGGAACAGTGTGACCACTGTACTTGGTTTCCTTAAAAACTAGAAACTGGCGAGCCAGTTGAGGGGCAATTTTCAATCCATAGATTCTGTGTAATTGCAGCACTGACAGCCAGAGGAAGCTGATCTGCCAACTCAAAGCACTGACACACACTGACCACTGACCACAGACCACCAACCACGGACCACCGACCACGGGAAGTACTTTTGGAGTTATGCGGTTTTTGAGAGTCTGTGTTAAGAGGAGCCTGATGTAAGAAAGAATACCAAACCAGAAGTCAACAAACCTAAATTCCCCTGCCAGCTCTGTGACCTTGGGCAAGTTCCTGAAGCTTCCGTGTCCTCATTTGTAAAATGGAGGCTCTGCCCACACTTGCGGAGTCTCCTCTGGCTCTCATGTTTGGGGTGTCTATGACTGTATACTGTTTCTGTGCAGGAGGAGAAGGAACACTTTACCCAAAAAGTAGCTGCAAGTAAAAATGAGACATTGGTGGAGAAAACAGTAAAATACTTCAAAAGAAAAAGAGGGTTGTGAAACTCACCCATAAACCTCCAGGCCAAGCTTCCTTTGGATTCCTTGTGAGTCAGCAGCTCTCACAGTGGCCTCATCTTTCTTAACAGCCTTGGTGATTCTTTCTCTTTTGGGATTGCCTTGATTACATTTCTAGTACATTGAACAAGAGAGTATCATGACCTCTTCCCAGGGGGTCTGCTCAACCTTGGACCCTCTCTGCCCTTCAGGCAGGCAGTGACAAATCACTGTTTTACCCTCACTCGTCCCTCTCACAACACGGTGCCTGACTTTAGTCCACCCAGGTCCCAGGGCTCTGGCTAAGAGCCCGTGTCAGGGAGGCCCAGGAGATTCTGAGGCTGGGCCGTTCCCTGCTTCCTCCTACCTCCCCAATTTCTCACTCTCTCCCCTTGCCCCACACCTGCTCTCCACGGGGCCTCATCAACGTCCCCCAGCTAGCAGTGACTGGGGACCCTCCAGCCACCTTTCCAGGCTTGGCATTGCTGTGGCACCGTTCTGACTGCTGTCACAAAGCAGCAGGGATTTGACAAGAAATTTTCACATATTGGGGTATGTGGGGTAGCTATTCTGGTTCAAAATGGATTCGGCTTGAACTAAAGCAGCCTGACACATGGCCTATCAAACATACATTGTACATTTGCTTTAACCATTAAAGAATGCCCTCTTTTAAGAATGCATACTCCTCTTCCAGTATCCTAAGGTAAAGCCATATTGGTAACACCCCACCTTACCCCACGTTAATCCCTTTCGACATCAGGGTCATGTTGACCTGCTAATTTGCAACTGAATACCTCTTTGAAATTTTGATGAATATGTATCTTGGGCATGTTCTTTTTTTTTTTAAAGATTTTATTTATTTTATTTTTTCCCCCCAAAGCCCCAGTGGATAGTTGTGTGTCGTAGCTGCACATCCTTCTAGTTGCTGTATGTGGGACTCGGCCTCAGGATGAACGGAGAAGTGGTGCCTCGATGCGCACCCGGGATCCGAACCCGGGCCACCAGCATTGCAGCGCGCGCACTTAACCACCAAGCCACAGGGCCGGCCCTTGGGCATGTTTTATGTATGTTCTTTGTTCTGAAATGGTATAAGACTGTACTGAAAACCATGCTTCTCTGGAACGCTTACTTCCTTTGTGGAAAAGGCCTTTCCAGGTTATAATCTTCACTCTGGCTCAAATAAAACTCACCTTATCTCTCATCTATAGGATGGTTATTGGTTATTTTACATCCACAGATTTAAAAGAAGAGAGGAGTGGACCATACAGAGGGACGCTAAGACAATCAGAATTTCAGGAGTCATTTTGTCTGTCTGCTTCACTTTTCAGATGAGAAATGAGAGGCTTTCTCCAAAGCCACACTATTAGTGGCTGAGGCAAGAACTGGAACTAGGTTTCCTGACTTCCAATCAGGACCAGTTCCTACCTGATTCATTACATTTTCTCTCCCTACTTGATCTCAGTGGAATCATGGATAGATGATACTATAAAACTTGTAGATTGCTTTACAAGATTTTGACTACCCAAGGAAATATTCAAGGGAAATGAGACCTTGGACGTCATCTCTTCAATGAAGCTCTCCCTGTGCCCACTGACTTCAAGTATTTATTCTCTGAACGTCCTTAACTCTGTATCTGTGACCCATAGGATACTTCACTTTCAACAGGACAGTATCTGAACCTGGTTCATCTGGGCCTGGTCTCTCTCCACAGGTGAGAAAACTCACCAGCTCCCTTAATGAACCAAGTCCATTCCTTTGAGAGGAGAGAATCCTGATGCAAGACTCGGGCCTCCCATGGGGATCACATGCTGAAAACGCAGCCACCAGACAGCGGCTCTTCATTCTCACTCGGATCCAAGCCCAGTCTCAACATCTTCTTTTAATTTCCTGTAGCACAGCAAGGAACCAGGCTGAAACATTTAAACAGGGACTCCTCAGCAGCTCAGGTCTGAGAGAGAAAGGGAGTAACACAAGACCAGACAAGAGGCTCACAATGTCCAGGTCACTTAGTTTCAGCATGGGGGTCCCTACTACACGCCTCCCTCACAGAACCTTAGCCTGTCTGCACTCCCTTCTCTCTTCAGACTCTTTCTGCTCTGGGCTTGCTCCCAATGCCTTCTCCTGGTTGGTTTGCCCGCCAACTTACCGAGAGCTGCAAACCTAGTGCTACGGCAGATCTAGCCTGTTGCTAGCTCTGCACTCAGGCACCGGGCATGGAGCAGGCGCTGAGTGAATACTAGTGCCAGACTACAATACGGGACGATCACATGGGCAGAGGAAACTGTCAGTTAAAGAGAACAGGCAATGGAAAAGAATGAAGAAAACGACGTCAGGCTCCTAGAACCAAGGAGGCCATCCAAAGAATGTGTCCTCCCCCAGCACAGCATCAGTGTGAGAGCTACTGGTCAGGCTAACCAGCCATAACCGCAGCTCAGTACTCACACTATGAAGCATATTCTCCCATGGCCTTAAGAAAGAACTGAGTGGGGCTATGCCGGAGGTGGTGGTGGGGAGGCGTGAGGAACGAGAAACTTTACACAACCTGAAGGAGAGACGAGGACGAGCACTCAGGTTTTTTCTTTTAATTATTTACCAGATAAAAAAGAAAAAATAGTGATTGTTTCTCTTCACCCCCAACATTTCAGTTTTCCAAGGTCGAGTGGGAGAGAAATTTGTTGAACAGTGATTCGTGCTCCTGGCCTGGAGCAAATTCTTCTTCCCCTCTGCTCTACACCACCTCAAGCAGGAGGGGCAGGGCAAAGAGCTCCAGGTAGAATACTTGAACTGCGGCAGCAGAGTGGCAGTAATTGGGCTGTCTTCTTTTCTTCTCCCTGTTGCCAGAGCATTTAGGCCCTCTCCTGTCTGTCCCCTACACCATACTCCCCAATTCATCAAAGTAGGAAGATGGGACTTGTGGAGGCAGGAACAGGTATAGAGCAGGACTGGGAAGCACACAGCAGAAGCGGCAGAAGGCCACCATCTTCTGCTTCTATTGCACATCTTGGATCAGATCCCCTGTCCTGAGCAATGGGCTGCAAAGTAAAATGTTTCTGAAATTCAAACAGACAACCTGTGGTTTGTGCCAGGCTCAAGAAGGGGAGGTGTGCTGTTCTGTGGCTTGTTCTGATACATATATATTTAAGTTATTCCATGACAGAGACAAGGCAAAGATCATGCCTCTTTAAAGAAGCATTTGGGGTTTGGACACTTGGGGCCCTGTGACGACCTGGGCTCCTCCCCCTAAAGATCAGAAGACCAAGCATACGCACGTCTCTGTCAGGTCTTCTTCTGCATGAGATGGAACAGCAGCAGGCCCACCACACAAGCCCCCCTCCAGCCGTCATGGCCCCGAGCCACTCAGGAGGGGACCTCTCTTTCTGAACACCTGGAGAATCTGACAAATGCCCTTAGAGAAAAATCCTCTACACTGTATGTTTCTCCATAAAGTGACAACTGTTTGATTCATTCTTCTTATTTCCAAGGAAAACGGAACAGGACTGGAAAAAGTTGTTTCACTGACCTTACAGACAGAATAAATGCCTCTAAAAAACAGTGGGGGTGGGGGAAGAGGACTGATTTTGATTTGGCAAAGCTGCACATCTTTCCCCTTCATTGGCCGGAACGAAGCTGGTGGGTGAAGACAAACCTAACTGAGCCAATGGCAAGAACGGCAGGCTATGGGCGACGACAGGTCAAACACAGAACTGGATCAATTGTGGCACTCTAAAGATGAGAAGGCAGGTCCATGACCCAGGCTGGGAGGAAGCCTCTGGAGCACGCTTCCAGAAACTATATCTGTCCTGTAGTAAGTGGCAGCATCCAGATAAATCAGAGTAGTTCTCCCTCCTCCTCTTCCCAACAGATTCTGAGGGTTTCTCATTTAAATAACTATGTACACACACACAAGCCTGGCCTCTCTTTTACATGAGGGTCCTTCACTTGAGGGTCCTACAATGGCTTTAGAGAGTCGGTTCCAATTGCCTTTTTGGAGATTTACTGCTTGAGACCAAACCTGCAAGGAGAAGAAATGACTGAACAGTTCCCTAGGCAGATCTTTACAATGAAAGCATCCCAGTGTTTAAGGGATTGAGTCTTAATATAAATAACAAGCCTGCAACTCCCACACTGGACTTTGTTTTGGTACCCTGGCAAACTGAGTAACTGGGCTGGGACTCATCAACCCTGCTGGCTACTGTCAGCCAGAGGGCCCCGTGCCCACCAGCAACCCTGGAATACAGCTCCGTACCTCCCTCTGATAAGGACAGTTTCTCAAGTTCAGCTTCAAGTTCAGTGTCCGAGATCCTAGGCTTAGGCACACTGTTGGTATAAAATGTCTCATGGGGGTTGTCAGGCAAATCCAAAGGTTCTTTGGTGGTATCCTGAAGAAGGATGTCCAGTTCCTTCTCCAGTTCCTCACTGTCAAAATCTGGAAAGAAAAGATGACATGAGGATACATAAAGTCCAGAGACCAAGTGCATTAATGAGTCAAAGACTGAGGATAGCAAAACGCAGCACAACTTTACAAAAGATGTCCATGCCTCCTTGCAGGTTAAAAACAGCCATGCGAGTTGGGAGACAGAGGGCACCTTCAAGCAGATACTCCCTTTCCATACACAGAGCTAAGTCATTATGGAGATATATTTTGCTAACACCATGGAATTAACCCTTCTTCCCCTTGCCCTTGAAGAAGGATCCTCCAGTGAGAAGCCTAGTGAGTAAGGAATGCTGGAGCACAGAGGGGCCATTAGTACAGCCTCTCAAGGAGGAAACGACAATTCCTGCTAACTACTCCTGTGGATAAGCCCCAGAGAAAGGGCAGTGTAGGAGAGCCCTGCCTGCACCAGGAAAAGGAGATCGATAATCAAACCTAGCATAACACGAAGAAGTGAAGTCCTTTTAGAAAGGAAAGGAGAAAGAATGAATCACTTTGTCAACTCACCTAAGCCATTGGTTACCCCACCAGCCAGAGTCTGAGAAACTTCATCCTGGGTGTCGCACAGCTGTAAGAGAAAATTGCAAGTCTTGAACTCTGAATGGTGTCCCTGAGGTCAGGGTTACAAAGTAATGCTGCCCCACCTGAGAAGTAAGGAAAGCTTCCTCAGGTTCACAAGGTAAAAAGTCAAGTTTGGGTAAGGAGGAGGTGCAACAATGTCACACCTGTCCTCAGTCACTTCCTTCTGTCGGGGTCCCTCCCCCAGCCCCTTCCTGTACCTCTTGGATCTGATCCACAAGGCTCTCTGCCTTCTCCACTGTGACATCCTTCATGGAGAGTTTCAGCGCTCCTACCCCAGCTTGATAGGCATTGAAAACCTAAAGAAAGCAAAGTTATCAGTGCAAATGAAGAACACTGGGCAAAATACATGCAATATTGTTTCATCTCCAAAACACAGCTTTGGGTTTGTTTTTGCCACCCATGCTTGATTCACTCCATCCCCACTGAGGCCAAAAACCTCCCAACAGGAGAGGCAAAAGCAATCCCAACCATATCCTGAAAGAGCCTGGGCCTCCCCCAAACAGCAAAGACACAGTGGAGGGGATGAGGACTGTATGCTGGAGAGACCAGCCAAGTCCTAGAGCAGAGGGGCAGTGGCTACCATCTGATCTGTCTGGGAGGCATAGATCCGGTCCAGGATGCCTTGAACAGTGTCCAGCTTGGCATGCAGGGCCTCGATGCGCTTCTCCGTCCGTTGCTTGGCCTTGAGAGACCTCAGTGCCTAGGGGGTCATGGAGACGTGGTCAGGGTCAGACTGGGCAGGGCAAAGGGTCAGAGGAAGACAGCCCTTCCCAGGTGATAATACCATCCCAGGCCTCCTTCCCTCTTCTTTGTAAAATAAGCTATGGCACCTGGGCCACTTGCAGACTGTTCCCCTCAAGCCCCAAGTTCCTCTCTGAGCTGCTGGGGCATGTCTCACTGCCAGCCCAGGGCACAGGTACACAGCTGGACGGGAGAAGAGAAAACTCACCAGCTGCTTCTTTCCTGCTCGGCAGGCCCGGCGGGCTTCTTCTTTACACCTGTGAAACAAAGGGACCGATCAAGACGACTATGCTGTAGGACAGAGGTGGCAAGGTCCTGAAGGGTCCCCAAGAGTGGCACTTAGTTAAGTTACTTTCAAATCTGAAGATCAAACCCTTTCCACCCAATGGCAAGAAAAACGATGCCCAACAGCCCACTGCCAAACTCTTGCAGCAAGCTGAGATATAAGCTTGAGCATATGCATGTGGGAAAGGCAGACTAAGGAAAAGCTGTTTCAACCCACAGGGAGAGAGAGCATGTCTACACAGCACCTGAAAAACAGATTCCCATCTTGGGAGCCAGGAGATAGGTATGAGTTCCTAATACCAACAATGACCTTGGACATATCCCTTTGCCTTCTGACAGTGCTGGGTTTCTCCTGCTGTAAGATGGAGTGAACTAATACACTTTAATTCAGTGTCTGTATGTCCTACTTTCTGGAGAAGTGTTCACGTGCCTTTAGTAGGGATGCCTTGTGTGGGCACCCAAGGGGGAAGAGCAGGAGTCCCTCAGAAAGACGTGTATCCCCAAGTCCCTAAGACAAGGCCTGGCTCAAGAAATACTGGTTAAATGGATACTGGCATGGGAGAGCATAAACATAACAGTTGTAATCTTTGGAGGAAAAATTCAATTTCATTTTTTCTCCTTTGTGATATCCTGTGCTTTCCATGATTGCTGCATTGAGCAGTTAGTACTTTTGTAATTAGTGCAAAAATAACTTTTTTTTTTAAAGAGCCTACAGACATCAATGCTTTGCCAGCTCTGAGAGCCAGCCAGGGTGGGGGTTGGAGGGCACTCAGCTCAGGGGTAGTTACCTCTCTGCTTCCTGGGACAAGGACTCCACTTTGCGCGAGAGCAGCTGTTCACTCTGCATCAGCTGGTAGACCCCAACATCTACATCGTTGACAGGAGAGACCTTGGCATGTGGCCCCCGGGCAAACTTCACAATCTGAGGGACAGGGACAAATTAGTGCTGCCCCTACCACAAATGTGGAGAGATCCCCAGGCACAAATGCTGGTGGGCACGTCAGTAAACACTTATTAAGTCATTGGTGAGTCAACGACTGAACAGCTAAACCTCCATACCTTTTCCCCATTCTGTTCGAGGACTGTGACCCTCTTCTCTTTCTGTAACTGCAGCAACACCAAGTAGAAGGTCCTCTCATCTGGGCAGGAGCCCGCACAGAGGGTGCTCAGCTCCGACAGGGCCACCACAGGGTGGGAGGAGAGAGGGGAGTTCTGATACAGACGATACACCTCCTCAGCCTTCTCCTGCAGGGAAGGCAAAATGTGCTTACAGGCCTTGACCGCCTCCATGGAACCCAGTAAACCCGACCACGTGTTTCAAAACCACGATCACACAAGGCAAGAGCAGAGGAGCACCGATTCCACCTTCCCTCAAGTAGCAGCTTTGGAAAAGGAAAAGGGATTTGTGTTGTTTTAAACCTTGGAGGAAAGTTTGGTGAATATGGAAGAAACGAGGTACACAATATATTGGGAGCCAGCTCTGTGCTTCACTTCTATCTGGGACTTCACATTTCTGCGTCTCCCTGCCCCGTGGTTCCCCGAGGGAAGAATAAGGCAGTGTGGTGTAGTGGAATGGCCATGAACGAGAGCGGAGGCCTGGTTTTTGGCACAGCCTGTGTGACCCTGAACCAGTCACAGTCTCACTGGTCCTCAGCATCTCCCCAGAGACTGAAGAAGGTGGATGAGATGACACCTAAATTCCCTTCTAATCCTGGTTTCTCCATTTTTATGCCAATTGGCAATACTGCAAACAAAAACATTACTGAGTCTATAAAGAGTCTCAAGAGAGAAGTATGTAACAAATAGGTGGGAGAGGGTTTTTGTGAGAAGTCTAAGAAATCTAAGTTCCAAGAAACAGTACCACTATGTCCCACCTACATGGAAATTAGTCTCTCAGTCTTCCACAGACAAGAAATATTTACTGAAGTAGGCACAGAATGCTGTGAAAATATAGAGAAGGAATACCCAGGAGTTCAGAAATTGCTTGGAAAAAAATGTTTTTTGAGCAGAATTCTGAATGGTGAGTAAGTGACTAGGTTGCAAGGGTATCTCAGGAAGAGGGCCGATCATGAGCAACGGCATAGAGTATGAGTCAACATGGTATTTACGGATGTGGACGAAAAGGGGAGAGAGAGTAGAAGCACTTCTGTCCTATACAAAGTGTAACATCTTCTCTGCTGTCCTTTATTCTGCAAATGGTAGGTGGACACTGAAGTGAAATGACCTGGCTAGATCATCAGAGATCTAGATGACAAATGGGAAAGGATGGATTGTAGGAGTTAGGCTTAAAAGCAGGGAGACCATTTATGCGAGAGAATATGAGGGACCGAACAGAGCAATGCTAACAGGGACAGAGAAGGGATGGATCCAAGTAAAATTTAGAAGATAAACTGGCAGTCCATGGTAACTGGGTCTGGAGTGGAAGCAGAAAGAGGAGTCTAGGATGACTCCTGGGTTCTGGCTTCAGTGATGGGTAGATGTGATGCTATTAATTAATAGCAAGAATACAGGAGGAAAAGCATATTTTAAAGGAAAGACAAAACATCCACTTTGAACATGTTGGTTTGGGCTGCCAAATTATTAAAATTTAAATTGAGAAAATGAAAGTATAAAACAATTCAAAGAAAATATTTAAAAATCTGATTAACCTTGAAGTAGAGGATGCCTTCCTAAGCAAGACCAGAAATTCAGCAGCCATAAAGGAAAATCTGAGAGATCTGACTGCAGGAATATGAAAACTTCTATATGGTAAAAGACAACATAAATAAAAATGAAAAGCAAACAAGAGACTGGGAAATAATATTTCCATCCCTAATACTAAATATATTACATACATATCTCTCTAATACATGAAGAACTCCTACAAATTAATGTAAAAGAAACAATCCACTATAAAAACAGGCAAAGGATATAAATAGGCAATACATAGACGGGGATATGTAAATGGCCAGTAGACAGGTGAAAAGATGCTCAGATCACAAACAGGAAGTATTATTTTCATTCACCAAATTGGCAAAATTTAAAAAACTGATGTTATCCAGTGTTAGCAAGGATGTGGGGAGACTGGACACTTTAAAGCAGTCTCGATGAAAGTGTAAATTAGTACAAACTTTTGAAAAGAAATTTGGCAATTTCTATTAAAATTTAAAATGTACATATGCATTTCTAGAAATCAATTCCATAAAAATAAAAGTAGAACAAAGATGTATACACAAGACTGTCAAAGAAGTATTTTTTTGTAATAGAGAGAAATTGGAATGACTTACTTACATGTTCATCTGTGTGATAACTATTGCATAAATTGTGGCGTATCTATAGATTATTATGCAGCTATCCAAAATAACAAAGTAGACCTACATTGTGCAGGGACCTGCAAGGTGTTCATGACATATTAAAGTGGAAAGAAAAGAAAAGCAGGTTGCAGACCACTAAGTAAAATAAGATTCCATTTCTGAAAAAAAATGAAGTGTATGTGTATACATATGTATGTATGTGTATATTCATTTATTTTTTCAACAAACATTTATTGACTCTCTACTATGTACCAAGCACTGTTCCCAGGGTCCATGGCCCATGGAACTTCTCCCTTCTGGTAGGAGAGAGAAATAGTAAACAAGTAAACAAGTAAATAAGATTTTCAAGAAGTACTAAATGCTAACAAGAAAATAAAACGGAAAGTAATATAATAGTGTGGGACAGGGTCAATAAGAAAAGATATGTCTGTAATACACACACACACGAAAGGGAAGGGAACATACCCAAAGAGACAGAAATGGGATGAACAGAAAGGAAACTTTCATTTCTTTGTATTTTTTTAAATAGCAAATCTATGGTCAATTTTTACTTTTTTATATTTTTCAAATAAAAAGTTACTGGCTGCTTTCTGTGTCCAGACTTGGGGAAAATCAATTTACCTCAGAAGCATGCTTTCTTTGTTTTATAAAAATATCCAGATAAGACCCTTTAGTTTCATACATGTAAACAAGTCTCCCTCCCAGGGGAAAACAGTGAAGTCGCCATATATTTGAAAGCAGATGTCCCCGAATGAGATTAAGTGTTAAGTGTTCTGTTTAGTGATATAAACTGGGTATAAATTTGATAGTACCATGCCCCTGCAGAGCTAGAAAATTTATTTTTCTATGTAAACAGGATTAGACTACATTGCTGTCAAAAATTATTGCTGGTTCTTGGAAGATCTGTGTAATTCCACCCCCATCTCTGCCTTTGCTCTCAAAAGACTAAGTCCAGAACCACAACTGTGGGATAAACAGAGCTACCTGCCTTTGCCCCAGTTGGAGAACACATGAGGTAAATCCCGCGAAGAGGAATGGAGCTTGGCTCAGAACCACCCAACCCATTCTGTAGTTTCTGTGGGGCCTTGGCTGAGCCCAGGAGGTCAGGGCACTGGGTGGGGGGCTAATCCTGTGGGTGGGGAGGGAGTGGAGTGCAGAGTGGAAGAGGGGCATGCCCTTGAAGAAAATGCATGCCGCTCAGTCAAAATCCTGGGGGACTGGGAGAGTTGGTAGATTTTGGAGACCTCCTCCTCAGTCTGAGGCAGAGAGGGTCAGGTGGGGGGAGATCTGCTGAGATAAGGAGAAACTGGAGCTTCTCTTGGGGTGGGGGATGGGGATACTGAGCTGGTTCCAGCTACGTGGAAGCTTCTAGGGCCTGCAAGGGCCCTGAGGTTGGGCTTGGTCTGGGAGTTTCAAAAAATAACTACTGTCTGTAGTATACTTCTGCTACACAGCGTTCAGTCCCCTTTATAACACATACACACTTAAAGCTCCCTATGACCTTATCCACAGCAGTTTGGGTGGAGTGGGAGGGCTGAAGCAGGTCTGCACTGCATTAAAGAGTGTGTGGGAGGTGAGGAAGTGGTGACAACAAAGCTTGGCCAAGAAGGAGAGAGACAGAGCAGTAACTAGAGGGTCTCAGGTCCCACAAAAGAGTCCTTCTGTGATGGGAAAAACTTGAGTGGGTTCAGAGGCTGAGGAGAGCACTGAAAGAGAGGGAGATGGGATATACAGATCCAGAGGCTAAGTATTAGGACAAGGGGACAAGCAGGGAGGGACAGACTCAAGCACATGCAGAAGAGAGGAAGGACACTTCATCCTCTGAGCTTGGGGAGAAAGAAGGGCTCAGAGGAGGTTAAATTGGAGGTGGAAGGACAGAACACTGAAGGCACGACTCAGGAAACTCTACCTTCTCAACGAAGTGTCTGCAGAGAGCAGAGAGGGGGGAATGAAAGAGTATGTGAGGGGCTGGAAGAGGACAAGAGATTTTGGCTCTGGAGTGGCTCTGAGGGCCTTCCTACAGCTGGGGGCCATGAAAGCGGCCCCAGTCTGGGCGACAGGGTGATTTTCTCAGCAGGGACGGGAGACTGTGGGGGCTGATCTAAGGCAGCTGATTTGCTGGTGTCTCTGGTGTGGACCAAGAGAGCTGCAAAGGAGCAGACGGTATGGATGAGGGAAGCAGTCAAGCATCAGCGACACGCTCTACGCTGGGCAGGGAGGGCAGGCCAGGAGGAAGGTGACTGACTGGGAGAGCATGAAGGGATCAAGGGCCTGGTGGCTTCTTCGATGGAAGTAAGTAACAGAGGAGGAACTCAGCCTAGTTTGCTGATTTACGGGAAGGCAAAGCTGAAAGTCACAAGGTCCTGAGCAATTCTTGACAGTAAACTACAGAAGGCAAAGCATTTTCTAAACTTCAGCTTATCATTAATCCCTACAAATACAGAAAATAATCAACTGTATGTTACTAACAATTCCTAGACAAAGGATCACCCTTGAAATGTACAAGTCCAACTAACAACTAAATAATGCCACATAGTACAATATAAGGGAGGTCAGATAAACTCAGTTATCAACTCTGTCACCATGTCAAAAAGATAAATTCTTTTTCCAAGGATACACACAAGGAATGAGGAGGATCCTGTCATCACACCAGATGACACCCAGACCTCTCCCTTCTGAGCACCCACCTTAAGCAGCTCCAAAGCCACAAGCACCTCCTCGGCAGGAACCTTATTATCCCCCAACATGTTGGAAAGAGTCCACTTGAGGGGCTTCAGCAGGAAGACTCCAACCCCCCAGGAGATCCAGCTGCTGTCTACACTGGCCATGAAGTCTGACTCCCGCTGCAGCTCACCTCGACTGCAGGCAAAGAAAGAAAAGGGTATACAGTAGGCTTAATGCAATGTCCCCTTCCAGTCCCCACCTCCTCCCTTACCCCAACAGAGGGATTTGATCATCATAAATACCATTTATTAGGCACCCCCCTCTGTGTCCCCTACTATGAGCAGCACTGGTTATGCTCCAGCTCTAAGCCTCAAAACAACTCTGCAAGATGGATGGTGTTAGGGGCAGTTTAGCTCATGAGAAAACTGAGGGACTGGGAAGGTGAGAGAGGCCAAAGCTAAACCACAATTTGGCTCCGAAATGCAAGCTCTCCACTAAGACAACAGAGGTACAGGAGGCCACAGGGCCTGTGTTGAGACTTCCTTTTACAAATGGAGCTCAAGATGAGAAAATGAAAATGAAAATGGACTACTGTCAAGTGCAACACATAAGAAAGAATACAAAGATATTCAGAGAAAGGGTTTTCTGCTATTCCTAAGCTAGGATGGAGACAACACATAAGCATTTCACGGTACTGGCAATAAGTAGCTAAATTTACAGAACGCCTACCATGGGCCAGTCACCATGCTTAGGGCTATGTAAGGAATATCTCTTCAAATCCTCACAATGAACCTGAGTACAATTACCACCACCATCTGCTAATTGGTCAGACTGAAGTGTAAAGAAGGTCACATAATCCAGCGAGTGGCAGAGCCAGGATTTGAGCCCAGGCCATTTGGCCCTCAAGCAAAGCTGTTAACCTCTATGCTATGCTGCTTCCATGGAGAAGTGCCTCCCTCAGAAATTTGTCAGGTGCCAGACCCCACCAAGCACCAGGAAGCGTCAGCAGAGCGCCAGCAGTCAGGAGAGGAGAAATCGAGGGATTAAAGGTCTCTGGATCCAAAGTGGAAGAGGAAAGTCCTCTGCAATAAGGAAGCCCAGACTGTTCTTGTCCCTCACTGACTTCTTCAGCTACTGCCTCCCCACGCCCCACTTCAGGTGTGAACTAAAACTCTGTCCCCAGTACACTTTCTCAGAAAAGAGAAGTTTCAGAAATGGCTTGTCGCATCCATGTCAGCCAATAGAAAGGTACTGCGGAGAAGGGAGATCTTTTAATCAGGAAGAGATCTTTTAATCAGGAGACCTTTTAATCCACTGCGGCGGCCCGGGGTTCGCCAGTTCAGATCCCGGGCGCGCACCAAGGCACCGCCTGTCGAGCCCATGCTGTGGCGGCGTCCCATATAAAGTGGAGGAAGATGGGCATGGATGTTAACCCAGGGCCGGTCTTCCTCGGCAAAAAAAAAAAAAGAGGAGGATTGGCAGATGTTAGCTCAGGGCCGATCTTCCTCACAAAAAATAAAATAAAATAAAAGCAACATATCAAAGGTGAGTTTCTCCATTCACTGAGGGAGGCACTATGCTAGCTAGGCTGCTCTCGGCATGATGAGCGAAGTGCAAATGATTCAGTCAGAAGACCAGCGGTCCAGTCCTGGCATTACCTCTAACTAGCTGTGCAACCCAGAGTAAGTCGCTTGATCTCTCTGAGACTCAGTTTCCTCTTCTGTCTGCTGAGGATAATTCTATCCTCTCGGCCACAGGACTGCTGAGGGGGTCAGATGAAATGGTGTATGCAAATTATGCACAAGCTGTGAAGTGCTGTACAGCTATCAAATACCCATGTTACCGCCTCAGGTACTTCCAAAACTCTGTACCTGTCGCACAGGTAGCACCTACAGGACCTTCTCAGGACACCAAGATACTCAGTAAAGCCCTCTACCTCCTTTATGTCCTCTGCTCCAAACAGCCTGTGCCAAGGACAAGCCAGGACAGGCCAGACCATGACCTGTGCCGGGGGCTGTGGGCAAGATCCCTACAGGCCTCTTCCCCACGACGGCCCTCACCTTAGCTCTGACCTTCCTCAGTTCAATAAATCCTATCTCATAGACCTTCTGTTCCGGCGTAATTCAAATTTGGAAGCCCCTACGAAATAACTACATAACGGGATTCCAGTCCAGACAAATCACTGTCACCTCTGTCAGGCTGGCTTCTCCTTTGCCGCCGGGATTTCATCTAATCGGACTTTCCTGGCCCCCGATTTCCCCCATACCCGGTCTCCCTCCAAACACCCCTAACCCAGCCCCCTTCCAGTCTTCCTCCTTCTGCGCCTGCTGAACAAACACGGAACGGCCCCTCCGGGCCGACCCCGGGCTGGCGCGGTGCGCGGTCAGAGAAGCGGACCAGTGCCCGTCCGGAGGAAGCCGCCCCGCCCCGACCTGGGCCCGCTCTCACCGCAGCAAGTCCTGCAGCACGGTGGCCAGCCCCAGCGGGACGCTGCCCTTGCGCTGGAAGGCCTCCTGCAAGTCCCGCAGACGCAGGCGCACCACCCCCTGGCGGCGGCTGTGGCTCAGCACCAACGGTGCCCAGAAGCCCATCTTGCTGTCCCAGTCGGTGCTGTTCACCTCGCGACTCCTTTTGAAGGCGGAGAACAGGAAGGACATGCGTTCCTCATCCTCCTCCCACTCGGGGGGCAGTAGGCCCGCCGGGTCTCCCCCGGCTGGGGCCTCGGCCTCCCGCTCCGGGGACCACATCGAAACCCCAGCCCCGCCAAGGCTCCAAACACAACCCTGGCCCTCGTCCCCTTCCGCCCTAGTTCCCTCCCGGCTTCCGTTCCTTGACCACCTCCTCCTCTGTCACTACGTCACCGCCGCCCCCAGCGTGAAATAAGTCTCGTGCGTCCTCACGGCGCAAGCGTCTCCCGGCCCTCCCGGAGCCAGAAGGCCAGATGCTGATTGTATTTTCGGAGAGACTCAAAGCGCTTGCGCCGACCCCTCCTCCCGCGGTCTTTGTGCGGAAAGAAGGGCGTCGCGCGTGCGCGGCGTGAGGTCGCGCCCCCCTCACGAATCATAGAGTTTGGCGATGCGTTATAGAGAGGGAAACGATTACGCCCCTCACTTGTACTGGCTTCAGATAGTGGGACTGGAGAGTCAGCGGCGGGGTGCCGGAGGCGCCGCGATCACCGTAAACCGGCCCTCTAACGGCCGTATTTACTTCAGACATTTCAGCTTCCGAGATAGCTTCCCTTTACTAAGATGTCAACGGATAAACAGAATTGTGGGTCACTCAAGCTCTGTGATGGTGGGTACACTGACTTTGAGAGATAGATAAGCTTCCACTGCTCTTGCTCTCTATCTTCCGCCCTGGAGTGTCCCTCTGTTCCTTCTCAGTATCGATGTCCTACTGATCCCTTTAAGATCGAGCTCAATTCTACTCTTCCTTGAAACCATCTCCGCCCGACTTGACTCGTTGTCGATCCCTTTCCTGGACCGCACAGTTGAGCGTTTACAGGTCTGTGTCCCTGTTCCCGAGTTCCCTGAGGGCAGATGCAATGGCGTAAATATCTTGCTATGACACAGAGTGGTGCTGAAGAAATATTTCATGAACTGACAGGTGTATAATTTGACCCTTGCCCTTCTAATATCTTAGAATCTTGTTAGAATGAAAACTCATGTGTAAGATTCTCATACACTTAGGAGAAATGAAAACGTCCAATGTGTTAAGAATAAATTGGTTTGTTTTTAATTGAACTATTTAAAAGGTGAAAAGAATTTCTTGTTTAATGGAACCAGGGAACAATCACCGGAGTTGAATATGAATCTGGCCTCTGCCACTCACTAGCTGTGTGACCTTGGTCAAGTACCTAACCTTTCTGAGCCTCTTTTATAAAATAATATCTCCTAGTAGGATTGTTTGAGGGAAATGTTATGATGTATGTAAAGTATCTAGTACATAGTATAGTGGGTGTTATCAGTGAATGACAGGATGCCTGGTAGTTGGAACTCTGTGTAAGGAAGAATTTTATTAAGAATTTTGAAGGAGGGGAACAATTGGTTATATGAATGAATGTGTCAACTGATATTGCTGTGTTGTGTTATATTCCTCCAAGCACTTTCACAGTCAATGTCTCATTTAATACTCTTAACAACTGACAAAAATTCTCTTTGACCACACTCTAAACAGGCTCCTCTGAGCCCTCTTCTTGACCAGGCCTGTCAACTTTGGCCTATAAAGACTGGAACAAACAGTAACATAACTTCTAACAGCTCAAGGCCAGTCCCTAGGATGACCCTAGCCCTCCCTTTTAAAGTGCCTGCCTGAGAAAACTTAAGGTTGTAGAAAATATTTACTGTTTGTTCCAGCCAACAACTGAAGATCAGACGCCTGGCTCCCAGCCTCTGTGGGAGGGGAGAAGTCTAACTTGGATAAGAGCCAGCTAGCAAACCCAGGTGGGTTTCACAGGGACCATCCCCCTCTTCCTGCTTTTTGTAATTTTCACTGCTGTGACCCCGCTGAGACCCCCTCATCTTCCTCCCTATTCCCTCATTCTCTTTTTTAAAATCCCAGTCACCTTGTACAAATGGAAGTTGAGTTCAGTTCGTGCTGGACTTTTTCCCCTTTTGCAGTAGTACTGATTAAAATCTGTCCTTACTGCTGTAGCTAGTGTCCGGCTTTGTAAACATAGATAAATCTTGGACACAACCCCATGAGATAAGTTTTGGTACTTTCTATAGTATGTAATTTGAGCAAATAAGTTGTACCCTAAGAAGCACATTTCTGCCATGCTGTCATACCCAATAAAATGGCTGGTTGGTTTGTGTCATGAGAGAGACCAGGTTGTTTTCTCACCTGGGTCTCAGAGTCTATGTCAAAATAGTCCTGCTCCTAAGCATTTTCAGGAGAGCAAATTTATGTACCTGAGGCCACCACACCTGAAAGTGCCACTGGGCTCCTGACACCTCTAGGCAGACAGTTCTCCACCTTCATCTTTTTGGAGATTGGAAGAGCTATTGGGAGTAGTGGAGAATGGAAAGAAAAGTCCTGCTGATCTGGAGAGGGCCGATTGAGTATATGGCAAGCTCTTTCTCGCCTCAGTGCTTCCACCTGCTAGACTCTTCCTCTACTCTGCATGACTGCCTCTTTTTCAGGGAACCAGGCAAAGAAAGGGTTGCTGAGGATCTGGTCAACAACTAACATAACCTGTCAAATGTTTTTCAGACAAGAAGAAACTGTGTTCTGTTTTGCAGAAATTGATGTCTCCATTTTGCAGATGTTACTGTTTTGCAGAGAAATCACACATTTGCAGAAAGACCCCCCCAAATTGTTCCAGCACCAGATGTCCTAAAGTTACTTTAACTCATTAGCATCTTAAATTCTTCTCCTCTGGGGGGTCTGAACAGCCATTTTTAGATCACACAGTATATGTGCTAACATGTATACATGCTACATGCACCTTAAAGGAACACAATTGTTACATAGTTGTTACAGTTGTTATATAAATAAACCCCAACTTCTGCTCTCTTTTGTAGAAAGTCTCCCCCGGTGCTAAGTTAGAAGAGACGCTGCTTTGGGAGTTATCTCCAGTGTTCCCCATTGCTTGTGCAAACAATAAACCTTTCTTCACCTACATCTGCCTTGGTTGTGCTTTTTGGCTCCACTCTCATCAAGAGGTAAACCCATTGATTTCAGTTACATTAGGCCATAGCTTAAAAGTCACTTCCTCAGAAAGGCCTTGTCTGAACAGCCTAATATAGTACCCTTGGAAATTTAGACTAGATGAGTCAGTTTGACAACACCTACTGATTAATCTGAACATCACACAAAAAAAAGACAATCAGACATGTCTCCTGAAGTACTGTAATAGGAAGTATGCAAAACCACCTATGAAGTTTTTTTTTTTCCTGTAATTGCACAGTACTACTCGCCCTTCCTGAGATGGGCTGTGCACTTTTCACTCCTGTGCGCCTTTGCTCTTTTTTCTTTCTTTCTTTTTTTTTTTTGTGAGGAAGATCAGCCCTGAGCTAACATCTGTGTTAATCTTCTTCTTTTTGCTGAGGAAGACCGGCTCTGAGCTAACATCTATTGCCAATCCTCCTCCTTTTTTTTTTTTCCGCCAAAGCCCCAGTAGTTAGTTGTATGTCATAGTTGCACATCCTTCTAGTTGCTGTATGTGGGACGCGGCCTCAGCATGGCCAGAGAAGTGGTGCGTCGGTGTGCGCATGGGATCCGAACCCGGACCGCCAGTAGCAGAGTGGGCGCAGTTAACCACTAAGCCACGGGGCCGGCCCTGAAGTATTTTTGTTAAAAAATGGAACCTGAATCTGATCAAGCCATGAGACCTAAGTACTAGGTTATGGAGGTTAAAAAAAATCAGAAGGTAGAAGAACATGTTAAGTGAAAAACTGAGGTTGCAATGAGCAAAATCCAGACTGAGGAATTTTACTAGATAATGACCTTGTTTCCTTGACAAATAATAACGACAAAAATAATTTTAATGTGCAATGTTATTGGATCAGATTTGGATCCAATTTGCACAATCAAAAAACTCATCTATGATAATTAGATACTTTCAATATTAACTGGATATTTGACGTTATTAATGAATTATTTTCAGCACAATGATACGTGGTTATGTTTTATTAAAAGTACTCATATTTTGAAGATACATCTAAAATATTTATGAGTGAGGGGCCGGCCCCGTGGCGTAGCAGTTAAGTGCTCTCACTCCGCTGCTGGTGGCCCGGGTTCGGATCCCGGGCATGCACCACTTGTCAGGCCATGCTGTGGCAGCATCCCATATAAAAGTAGAGGAAGATGGGCACGGATGTTAGCCCAGGGGTAGTCTTCTTCAGCAACAAGAGGAGGATTGGCATGGATGTTAGCTCAGAGCTGATCTTCCTCACAAAACAAAACAAAAAAAATGCTGAACATTTAGGGCCGGCCCCATGGCTTAGCAGTTAAGTGCGTGCGCTCTGCTGCTGGTGGCCCGGGTTCGGATCCCAGGCGCGCACCGACACACCACTTCTCCGGCCATGCTGAGGCCGTGTCCCACATACAGCAACTAGAAGGATGTGCAGCTATGACATACAACTATCTACTGGGGCTTTGGGGGGAAAAATAAATAAATAAATAAAATCTTTAAAAAAAATTGGTGAAGATGGTAAATTTGAAAATAAAATAAAATATTTATGAGTGAAACTGTATAATATTTGTGACAGGAGGTTGAGTGGGGGAGATTAGGGAAGTATCCGTGAGTATAAATTTCATACTCTGTACCTAGCACATAGCCTGGCACTTAGATATCATTCAACATTTTGAATGATATCTGAATGTTAATGAATGACATCTGAATGTTAATATTTGAATGTTAATGAATAAGTAAAGAAATGACCTAGACCTGCATTCTGGATTCATAAATAGCTGCATGACCTCAGGCGAGCAGGTTTCCTCTCAGATTCCTCCCCTATGAATTAAAAGTTTCTATGCTATGATCTTGAGGTTTTTCCTAGTGCCCACTTTCTGATTTTACATGTAATGTCCACTGTAAATGTGTGAGTGATTGCAGAAGCTCTTTAGTTTTGGGAAGCCTGGAGAACAAAATGTCACCTAACCATCACCATCTTGAGGGAGTAATATTTATTTACTGATTCCCCAATATGCTTTTGGTCAGACACCTAAACCCCCTCAGTCCAGCCGAATGCACAAATATCACAGAGGCTTCAAACACTGCAACACCTCTATAATGCTGCTTGATGCTTCATGTCATCTTTCCTGCTTATTGGGGATGCCTCATCATTTTTGTAGAAATATGCATACCTTGTTGTATTATCTGGTTATTTCT